TCATCAAAAGGAAGGTTTTTAAAATGGGAATTTCATGCAGTTTCCTAAAATGTCTCTGCTTAGCCATTAATGTAATTTATATTTAGCACAAGACCACAAACAGACAGATTGCTAGACTAGACTGTTTCAGGGAAGAGCAAACCACTCTGCCTCTTTACTCACAGTGTTGCTAAAATAAAGAGCATAGCAGTAACATGGGAAATGAACACAAAATAGAAAAATAGGACATTTCAAGAACGCTGGTTGAACAAATTGCGTTGGAAAACTGAGAAGAGATCCAACCCACCCCTACGTAAAGCAATCAGTAGAACATCTTTAGCTAAGTTCAAGAGTGACAGAGTAGGACAAACTGTGCACTCAAATAGATCACTTCAATTTTGAAGTTATAGTTTGCCTACACAAAACAAACCGTCACAAAAAACTGTCTGCACACAGCAACACACAAGACAGCCTCTTCTCTTTATCCACCCCCTTGCTGAAAATCCACCGCTTTGTCCCTTCTGCTCCAGTGAAGAGCTGACAGGAGGCACCTGCTTGCTGCTTTTCTGGACTGAACACAGGCCATTACTTTCAATGTATTCTAATTTCACCAACTGAGGCTGTTTAAACCTCTCAAAGTCATTCTGGACAGTGTAACGCGTTTTGCATCATGCTACTACAGCCAGACACTGAATAAAAATCAAAAGCTTTTTCTGAAAGATTCAAGCATGTCTAGACAGCAACGTCACAGTAACTTCTGCAGAACACTTATTATCTTGACACTGAACTCTGGTCATTCATACTGAAACCATACCAAACAGAAGAAAACACTAGTATTGACTCTCTCGACCAAGAAACAAGGGGACAAAGAGATAGTGAAAATTAAGCATCTGCCTCCCTAATATCCCTTCAGTCTCCTCACTCTCTTCTATTAGTTTGACAAAGGGAAATGTACAAATACTTCAAGTTCATATACCTGTTCAATGGCACGAGTTCCAGGATACACCCCTAAAGCAATGGCCTTGGACCAAGCTCCCCATGGTGCGGTACTTGCTCATGGAAAGAGAACTTTGCCTTCAACCGGTATGAAGCCATTAAATAGTGCAAGTTTGCCAAGTAGCTCAGTGCTCCTAAATTTATGAAGCTTCATAGAATCATTTATTTTTACAATAGTCTTTAACGGGGGATAAGATCTTTCCTCATGTATATCATTGAACATGTACTGTCTCAGCATTCCAACGTTTTTGTAAAGGGAAAGCCATCGGAATACACTATTAATTTTGAAGGCATTAATTAAAGATACTCACTGAGTTCAAAAGCATCTTTGCAACAGAAGAATCCTGAACAGCGAGGCAGGATTTGCGGTATCCGATGTGACCAAGCTACATAAGTTGATAGAAAAACCCCAGTGTCTTGTACTCAAAACTGAAACTATGTTAAAAATATAACAGAACGCAGTTCAACTCAGAGGCACTTAAAAACTGCAGTGAAAATTCCTAAATCCACTCATATCAAATTTACATTAGAGGAGTGCCGTAATTGCACAAAACCATGATCACTTCTGGAAATTCAAGCACAACCTACCAACCACTACTGATTCTGCCCTCAGATGCAAAGAATATGTTCATTAAAATACAGATCTGTTGTGCTATGTACGATGTGATGAAAGGAAGGCAAACAAACCTGACAGCACTCTGAGGGTTTTTTTGGTTGGTGTTTTTGTTTGTTTTGGTTTGGTTTTTTGTTTGTTTGTTTTATTGGTCCATTGTTTTTTTTCAGGATACTTAAAAATGAGAATTAGTATAGCGATTATTCCTAAATCGTTACTGCACTTGCTATTTTTCCCCCTTCAAGCATCACCATTCTAATATCCAACTCCCACATACAAGCCATTTTAACTGTTTTCAACAATCTTCGCTGATCACTCCTAGGCAAGGATATACCACTTTGTTTTAGAAGTCTACAGAGAGACTTAGAATAGGGAATCTTTTCTACACAGAAAGCTGTATAACTAAAGAACTGAATCTGATCATTTTCATATGCTGCCAGGCTTTGGATGGATAAATGTTTCCAAAGAGCTGGCGCCTCTGTTTTGGGTAGGAGTGGGTGGAATACTGCAGGATTCCCCTTCCCTCCCCCTCTGAAGCAGAATCTGGTCTCTATTAAAGGCATTTCAGCTGTAATTCCACTGTCTGAAATATCCTGATTTTATACAGTGTTGCAATTCCTAAAACAATCATTAACACTGATGAGATCCTGTTCCAGGTCTGGCAATTCCGAGTTTCACTGTCCGTGCCAAACTTAGCAGGGAAGAAAAATTTTAAGTTTTAGTAATGATGAAAGGTGTATAGATATCAATTTAAAAAGATTATGCTGAGGGGATCTTCATCTGCGTGTAGTATAACATACATAAAAATTCACTCAGCACACTTAGAATCCACCTTTTCTAGCTGCCCTATAAAAACCTTCAAGTACCACCTCTGTAGCGCAACCAAAGATACTATTTGACCTATTGAAATGACACAAACAGTACACGATATAGTTTGGACTAACGTTTTTATAGCTGTCAGCAATGCAATTGTCAGAAGGGTACAACTGACAAACCGTATTTCCAAGCTGACAGAGCATGTGAGCATTGGAAAATTCGATACAGGCCATAAATACAACAAACATGGGAATGTACATTTATGCATTACTTTCTATTGAGAATTCTATATGATGACCATGAGCACCAGTAAGTGTTTACTGATTAAAGTTCATTTGATTCTGCCTGAAGGCTCTATTAGAATACAACTGAAGTGAAAGTCAGGGAAACAATGCATGGTTTGGAAACCTGATTCCTCCTTAGGAATGCACTGTAAGTCTATCTCTGCTCTCAACCCTGCCCTGCCCCAAAAGATCGTGATTTTTATGCAGTCCTAAGATCCAGAGTGCAAAAGCTCATCTGTAAACATTCCAGATATGTGGCCAGGACATCTTCCCCCAAACACACAAATGAAAACTGAAATGTAAAACCCAATTACAGAACTACAAGTAATTGAGGCAAAGATGTCTTCGTTACACATATTAAACATGTACAGTAAAATCAAGTACGCATAACAAAGTGTATTGCAATTATTAAAAATCTGTACTTGGTATCACGTAAGTTTGAAGTACCTTTGACAATGTTTTTCATTCAGCTTAAACATATTTCAAGTCAGTAATTTTTCCTTTTCTTCCTTTCTGTAGGTGATCTATGCCAGTGCTTTAGAGCTGGGACAACGACTGTTGTTGTTTTAAAAGAAAATGGGTACTGGCAGCTAATAAGGACATCATTTAATAACAACCGCCTGCTGTCATATTAAAAGCAAGAGTCTTTTCAGAAGCTATTGAATCCAGCTCCTGCAGCTGGCCAGGGATGTTGCTTTTTGTGTCTCAGTGTCACAAGTTTTGATGCCTGTCCTGAAGTCCCAGATGCTCATATTACCTCAATCTCACTGTTAATTGAAAGAGTTTTTGCGCATCCGAGCTGCAAATAAGTATTTTCTACACTTGGAGGAAAGAATAAGTCTCAGAACTCCAGAAGTTATTTCAGCAAGCCTCATTCTTTTTCAACCTTCAGCATCCAGAAAGCACATGGCTGCTTCTCTGTAGTAACAGGAGTGGGGAAGAAGGGCACAGTAAAGGAAAATATATCAACAAAAGCTTGAAGTAAATTGAGGTCAAGGACGTAAGGGCAGGCTTAAAGTTCCTACTGTGTTGTTAAAATTAAGCCAGGCTGCCACAGATCTTCACGTACAGCTTTGAGTTAATTCTACCTTCCTTTTGAACTGAACTTACAAGCAGGTTCCAGCTATGCTGTGTCAGAGACAGAATGATTCGGGTAATCTAGCTGTGGCTCCAAGGATCCAGTGTAGTGAGGCTTCCAAGGCAAGGATTTTACCTTTGCCACAGCTCGCGTCTGACCTGGCTACATCAGTGTTTGCAAGGAGACGCACACCAGCCATCCCTTCAAAGTGAGAGATATTACCCTCTGCATCTGCCTTTTCCCTCTCGTTCTCAGTGTCTTCCACTTGTACTTGGAAGAGAAGAAAGTCTGTCTAATCATCTCAATTATCAGTAACAATGCCAGAAGTAGCTTAGCAATAACAATAATCAAATTTTCTAAAACCTGAGAAGCAGCAGATTGATCACATTTGATTATAGTAAAGTCAGGCTGTACTGATGAAGCAGGGAGTAGGAAACAGTCAGTAAGGGAAAGAAATTCAAAGTGTTTCTGTCTTCTCCCTATTCTCTGCCTGACCTACAGCCTGCCTTAACTTGCCAGCTCTCCTTATATATTACTCGTCCTCTTACAGCTCTTGCCTTTCTGACATCTCAGAGCAGCTGGTTTCCATTCCCTTTTCTGGCTCCTCTTTTCTTGATCCCAGTGATTTCTGCTCTCATCAAGAAAGAACAAGACTCAAGACTCTGGGGCCCTAAAGCAGCAAAGAACAAGATACGGGGAACTACACCAGTGGAACAGAGGAGTAAGACCCCCGTCAGTAAGAAAAAGGTGAGAAGAAAATAAAACTAGCCTGTACAAGAAAGCAGACTGTGGCATCTGATTAAATTCTCTGGTAATGTTTTCCACAACATGGGATAGCGAGCTACAAAATTATGTGCCTGCAGCTCTCAAAGCCTTTCCAGTGTTCATGAGAAATGCATGGGGCAAAAGATCCCTCTCTCCGCTACTGAAGTATTCTTTGTGAGAGATATGGCAGCTCTGTGCACAAATGTATCCTTACAGCTTAAGTACCCACAGAAAAGGCCATCTACATAAAGGAAGAAAGGATAAAATCAGAGAATTCTTATCAAAACTTCAAAAACTTGAAATTCATTTTACAAGAGTTAAAAACAATGCGTTTTGCAATTTTTATATGACAACATCAAACAGCAAACACAAAATACTCAACATTGTACAAACAGACAAATAAATGGAAACAATCTAAAGTTTTGGGAAAGTACTAACCAGTTACTGACAGCAGCTGTGAAACCCTCACCTCCATTTCCTCCCGATGAGACCTGTCTCTATCCTCGAATTCACGAGTTCTTCGCCGAGCTTCTTCAAAGGCTTGTTGTGCCAATGCATCCTCCTGCTACCAAAGCAGATGACACAGAGTGACACGAAAGGCTACCCTTGTTTCTACCAGATCACATTTCTTTTGAATATTAGGGATCACTTGGCAGCAAAGACAAGTATGTCCTACAGAATCTGCTGGAACACACATAAGTTCCAGCAAATGCCGATATAGGTTAATGAAATTACACTCACCTTCATCAATGCAGTAGAGAGAACCAAAGCTGTTAGTTACTACTAAAATATATTTTCAAAGGAGAACTGCTTTTCAAAAGTAGTTTAAAAAGGTGCTGTTTTTTTAAAAGTTAGGAATTCTCAAGTTATATGAAAGAGGCAATACATTTTATTCTCCTTATAAAAGCCATTTTGAAGACAGTATTCACAGGTATATCTAGATAGAGTTCACTAGCATCTTTATATAAATAATGGTAATTTAATTCTGTCATTTAAAAAAAACCCAAAACTATCTAAGTTACAAACCAAATAAATCCTCTGTTTTTTCAAAAGCTCCTGACGGTGCATCAGTATGATCATTCGTAATCCTTATGCATCATTTAAATTATTTAAATTTAGATGCATAAGGAAGTGCAAAGCAGAAGTTACTCCTCCACATATTCACATACAACGTGAAGAAACCTGCAGGTTTTCAACAGCCCTGTTGTTTACTTTACTCTCAACAGTGGCTTACGCACAGGAATAAGATTTAATAAATTAATGCTCAAAAAAATCCTTTGAATCATATTTTCTGTTATAAAAGGTTTTAAATAAAGTGCTATTAATATGTAAGCCATTATTAATTGGGTTACAAATTATTTCTCTTAAAGAGACCTTTTAGCACATATTTCGCTCAGAATGAAAATAAATGGCTCTGTTCCCCACCAGACTCTTAAAAAGTTCAGAATGGAGGAGTCAAGTCTAAAGAGGTTCCACAAAACTGTAAGGGATAAACTGTATTGCTTCTCCCCCTCCTAACTCCTCAACTATAATTACTACTAACTCTGCTTATGATTCCCACATACACACAAATGTTATTTTCAAGTCAATAGATTTAAAAAAAAAAAAACTAACCTTGACTGTTAGAAGACAAAAACATGCTGAGAACCCAACTAAATTTTAATATACCAAGGGATTAAGTGCATAAATTTTTTAATTTAAGATAAAGCATCTCTAGTCTGAGAGAATGCTAAATTGCTTTTTTTGCCATCGGCACAATCGTGCACCCTGAAGCTACTCTGTGAAATGATGTGAAGGAGTGCCCCTCGTGGCCTAACACAGTTAAATACAAACATCTGCCAATCGGTAACTCCGCACAGCCAGGTCCCCAGAAAGCTATGCTGAAAGGCAATGTTTAAAGCTGCCAATAAGATAACATTTTAACACTACCTACTTTTAAAAGTAGAATTTGGCCCTATCTTAATGTTCATGCAATGCACAGCAACTAAGGTCAGACAGCGGAAAGTTTGTTCTTAATAATGCAGAAGGATAGAGAGAAAATAGATACGCTTGTCTCCCAGATGACTACAGAAAAGCTGCCTTATTTCTAATTTACAAAAGCTATGTATGTCTTTATTACCCTCTTTTTTTTTAACAGACTTAAATGAAAACAGATTTTTTTTTATGAAAGATTTTTGCATTTTACCATCATTTAAAGTGGTCATGAAATAAATAGCTAACATATAGCCTCAGCCAAAATATTTTCAAGAAATGGTCATAACCAAAAGAAACAAAATTAGAAATTCATAGGAAAAGAATCAGTATGCTGACATCCAGAATGAACACGTTGACAGCTGAAACACTGGCTTACTAACGTCTGAGAAAGGGGGAGAAAAAAGCATCAGAACTTTTTTTAAGTAAAAAAATTCTGCTCTACTCCTGGTGATGTGTTATAACAGAAATTAACAAACATCTCAGGATCTTGTACAACAGGAATTTAACAAACTTTTTTCAAATGTCACTCAAATCTAGTAATTACAGCCTAGCGAATTCAGCTGTATGAAACACCATCATTTATCCATCTTAGTTTTAATCAATAAAAATGTTCCTGGTTTGAATCTACTAAGAAAAAGAAGAATAAGCAAAGCATGAGCCGTATCATCATGAGAACAGAACAAAACAAACCCTCCAACTCAGAAAAACAAAAAAGAGAAGCTTAAACACACCCCCACTCATACACATACCTCCTCCCCCCCCCAGCAGCCCGGTAGGAAAAGACTTCGTGAAAACAACCATTTATCGCTACCAAATCTACATAGCAAGAATGCTCTATTACAGAAGAGAGAAAAGTACTGAAGACAGAAACAGTCTTTTAACGACACTCAAATATATAAATATCAAATCCAGGGAAATTTCAGCCCCAAATGGGGAAGATACTCAAGCACGTATGTAGAGCTTTGTGTGTGATAGCCCACTGAACTCTGAACAAGCAGCTGAATCAGGGCCTCCAGTAACAGAAAGTAAGACTGCTTAGTAGTAAGACATTAATAGGCTATGAATTAAATAGAAACAACACTAGCTTAAAAGTTACAATTAAAGAACTTCATCGTTATGCATGTGGCTTTTCTTCCTAAAATATTTTTTGACCTGGTGAGGGGTAGCATCATTTCCAAAGCGTGGCAGCAAAGAAAAATTTTATCCGATCCCAGCATTAGTTAGTAAGAAGCAGTAAGAGACAAAGGAAAATGCAGGAGCATTACATTTGTATAAGGTAAGCCTTCCAGAAAATGGGAGTAAGGGGTGTGTATGAGGGGGGGGTTTCATGAATGCCAACAGGACCTCTTATTACAAAAGACAGTGGGTACCACAGGCACTACACTGCACAGTATGAGGCACCTAAACCCATTCTGAATCAGTGTTGTTTTGGGATCAAAGTCAGCAGTTAGGTCAATTGCCACAAGCAATATTAAAACAGTTTTAAAAAAGGAAGCAAAATGACAGATACAGGAAAAAGGAAACTGAAGAATGTAAAAGATTGCCCAAATGTTTACAATACTAACAAATACATACATAAAAACCACAATGCAACATCAACGGTGTGGCTACTTCTCTGTGTCTGTATAGTGCCTTACGACACCCATTACTCTTAGGTACCGCTACTACTGTAGCAAGATGACCAATGTCCTCCTCATAATCACTGAGAAACACAAACTGAAAACAAATTACACACCTGTGACCGAGTGCAAACGTATCTCTGTAGATCCACACTGGGTCATACCTCCAGCTCAGCACCCTGTACTCAAAACCCAAGAAAGCACCGACACCTGAGAGCGTGCATTCCCTCACAAAAAAATCCGTAAGACTAAAACGCATGCTCAGTGCACAAACACTTTCTGAAGACAGCAAAAAGGAATTCTTAAGTATAGTTAAGACAGCGTATACACATCAGGAAACTAAAATAATCCAAGAGCATGCAATAACATTTATCAGGAAATTAAAAAGAGAAAAATTGAACCCACAGGTCACCTGACCACCCTCCTTTTTGGAACAGAGCCCACTTTTTTCAGGAACTATACAATTTTGGAAAAGAGTGATACTATCTTCTTCTGAGCACACGTTCAAAGCAGTCTCCTCTCAGTTCAAAAGTCATTCAGACTTAGCACTCTGTATCAAACAACTGTCACAGATCAAGAATCTTGGGATTTATCTTGCACAATCCTCAAGTGTCTACATTTGACCTTGCTTTGTAATCCATTACAGTCTAAAGGCCTTCTAATCAATGGAATCTACAGCAGTTACTCTCTTTCCAAAGAACACACTGCTGCAACAGGAACTTAGCTAGCTCAAATGCCAACACCCAGCTTTGGAAGAAGTGAATGCTGCAGAGAATAGCAGCATTCAACTAAAAGCTTGGTTCTGTGGCTTTTCTGGCAGATTAACAAAAGGTGGCAGGACTATTCTCAGAATAGCGTACCCTCTCTTTCTAGGCATCCTGAAGAAAGCATGCAGGGCTGTGACTATTTCAAAGACACTGTTTTGACACAAAGTATTTCTATTTAACCCAGAACATAGTCACAATAACATGATCTCATGAACATGCAAATTGGTTTCTTAAGTTAGGGAGAGGCAAGGCACCACAAAGCTTGCAACTATACATATTGCCATGTAAAATTAGATCTGAATACTTCCAGCTCTTGAACGGAAACAAATTAATCAATCTGCCCTCCAGTTCTGCATGCCCGGAATAGAGGAGTGCTCTTTGTATTTAGGTGGAATCAAAGGGTTCCTACCTGTTACGTAGTGACCAACTGTGCCTGTAGAACGACTAAAAGGGAAACTGCAAGGAAGTGAGGACTGAGAATGAGAGGCACGCAGTGGAAATAGAAAATGCATCCTTATTTAACTCAGCTCCAGCGCACAACTGCCAGAAGCAATCCCCCAGCGGACTTTGTGCCCCCAGGGGGCACAAAGTGAAGGTAATTTGGAAAAGCAAACAGTTTGTGTGAATAATAAGTTTTTGCAAAAATCACCCATATGTATAAAACACATGAGGTGTAACAAAGGAAGACAAAGGGAATCACCAGCGTGACACAAATCAGTTCAATTATTAAGATGAGTGAGTTGGTGTGAGTCCCTGAGTTTAATGGAACAAAAGGAAGGAGATAGAGACAGCTCCAATTTTATTATGCTATCAAGGTAAAAAAGACAGTTACCATTTAAGAGACATTGAACAATGGTTCAAAGTGAATTACTCAAATTTCCAGAAAAGTTAGGGGAAGTCATGATAGTCTTGGGTGAAAGAAGAAGTCTTCAGAGAGAAGTTAGGACAAAATGGCTATATATATAGGTACAGAGTAAATTATTAAGAATCATTTGCTGGAGTACCAATACAGAACTTGGAGGAAAAAAAAACAGGCTGCAGGAAATTGGTCACCCTTCTTCTTTTCTCTGTGTGCTTACAAACCCTTGTATTCAGAAGCACTTTGGACCATGCCTTCATATAATTCTAACATTTCTAAATTATCAAACTACAGAAATGAATTGCTGAGTTCACCATAAAACATAGATTCTAAGTCATAACTTTGGTAACTGATGTTACTACATCCAATTTACTGTCCACTGCAGAGACAGGTGATCTGCGTGGAAGCCCACACAAACCTGGTGCTTTTAATATCAGTTAAGTATCTTCTTTACCAAGCTACATCTCAAAAGCAAAGGTCTGTCTTGAGTCTGACTAAATTAAGGAACTCTACAGCTGTGTAAGTGAAACTTATATGCACTTAAAAAGTAATTTCCTCTGTGTTTACTCTGTTCTTGTGCATGTCCAAAGACTCAGCTGCTAGACAGTCACTTTGGTGTAGGAAGTGGGTAGATAGGAAGTACGTTTCTCAAAAGCTGCCCTACCTTAACAGAGCAGAGAGTCTACTACTGTTAAAAGAACAAACGGAAAAACCCTATTCACACTCCCCGTATGTAATAAAACAAAAAGCTACTTACAAAAACCACCTTAAAATAAACAGCCAGAATAGACTCGCCAGTTAAATTGTTTCAAGTTACAGACATAGCTTTTCAAATACTTTAAGATTTACTACCCTGTAGCATAGTAATCGTGCTAAGTCACCCACAAAGTTGTAAACTACAGATGATTCCTGCCCCTAATATTTTGATCTAATTAAAACACTAGTTTAGCTACAACCACATAATTCTGAACTTCTATACTGTAAATTTTCTTTGGAATTTGTACTCCAAGTGAAGACAGAAAACAAGCAAATTGGAATGTGTGATCGCTACCTGACTGCGTGTTTCCTTCCAGAAGAACAAACAAATGTCTAAGGCACAACAGCCATGGGCAGACTGTCTTACCTGTGCTCTCTCTTCATCAAATTCCAGGCAGCCCATACCATCCAGTCTCTGTAGATCTATCCAGCCTTTCCAGATTACACAGACACCATTGAGAATCATAGGTGCCTTCAAGTACACCTGAAATAAAAGCAAAACACATGCTATGAATCTGAAAGCATTTACACCATGCCTGTACAATGAAAATACTGATGCGGGAAGCTTCTATATGTATTCTTAGAAGAACATTCAAACCAGCTGGTAACATGAGACTCCACTTAACAGCTTCTCCTGCCTCCTTTCCAAGAACTCATTTTAATCAAGTGCATGCTGTAACTTTTGCCTACTGTACTGGATGGAATAAATTTAAGTTGTGTTCTCATTTTATAAACTGGCGTGCACCAGGATTTGGTTAGAACTCTGTTACTGCTTTCAGTTAAAGTAACTGTTTTTCTTGTCAGCTTACCTTCGTGTCACAAAGAAAAGTGGCACGCTGCCAGATAGGGAAGATCCTTTACAGCACGTTTAAACGGTTAAATGAACACATGCTTTCCTACTGCCAAGAAGCACTGTATTTTACTCCAATACATGAGCTCTTTCAACAAAGAACAAGCACCAGTTTCAGTCCTCCTCAAATTTACAAACTAGAGATTAGTAAAATATATACACCATGCTAAAAATAAGAAAGTCTTCCTGTGTCTATTCTAGCTTTTCAAAAGAAGCAACACCAGATGATCAAAACCCATCTACAGCACCAACATGCACAGTGCCTTGCGCTGCAGCAAGGAATAATGCATGAGCTTAAGGCCCTACATCTAGATAATGGTAGATGATACAGTGATTTAAAGCAGAAGTATTTCCCCTTCTAAAGACCAGAGATTAATCTCTACACCGGAAATTTAAAAAGAAGCAAATACAACACTAAATGAGTTTGACACCCTATATTTAATGGCATCAGCCTTCCAAAAAAAAAAAAAAAAAAAAAGGTAAAATTATCTAAATAGCTAGGAGAAAAATCAACCTCCAGTAGTTATTTCAGCCTACTTGGCAAGTCAAACCCCTCACGGAACAGAAGTTTATCTATACTGAATTGCCAGAGAGGCAAACCATGCACACAGGCCAGCACTCACTTCAGATTTAAAGACTGCCTAGATATTCAAAATCCTGTCAAGTCTTTTTGGTCTTCAGGAGAGGCCCAGCTACGTAGGGGAATTTTCACACAACATCTCGTCTAACAGCTCTAACTTCATCCTCTGGCAAATCCTCAAAGTATTGATACTCAGCGCTATAGCGCATTTCAAAGCGCCCCAACCGTGCCTACCTGCTCAGTTCCACACTTATCAGCTAAGGTCACTCAAGCAGAAAAACGAAAGGCAAAGAGTTACAGGAGGTACAGAAGGAAGGTAAGCCTTCCTTATGCAAAGGCTGTCCTGGTAAAATTAAGTACTGAACAACATGAAAGGCGATCCGTAAGTGGAAGAAAGGGAACAAATAACATGAAACCAACTGACAAACAAGTAATGTCATTTGCCAAAGAAAATACACATTTGATCTCTGAGCTTGATTTTTACAATTTATCACACTTCATATGAAGTGATATACTCTAGAAGTTTTAATTAGTACCATACGCCATAGCTCAATAACAAAGAAATAAAAGTTAGTTCAAGCATTATCTTCTTTGTAACAGCTCTCCTACTACAGGGTCTCCACTACGAAGAGCAGGGACTGGTTTGCTGTCCTTGTATTCACAGGCTAGCTATGCAAGTCATCACACCTATGTCTTCCGTGATGACAGCACACTATGCAGGGTGCAGATCTACCAGCCCACAGTCTCTGCGAGCAGAGGCGTCAGAACCAGCATGAGTAAGATGTGGACTACCAGGAAACCACCTCCCACAGCCCTCATTTCAAGATTAATAATTTCAAACATACGAAATACAACATCACTCCCTTTCAGCACAGTCTTCACTCATTCATCTCACAAGAAATAAATGAAGTACACACCATCAATTTAATAGACGCGTTTAATTCATTTAGAAGTGAAAGACAGTTAAAGAGGCTATTAGAATCAAAAGTCATTCGTTTCTAAGAAGAATGCAGAATAATTCAAAAGGAAAAAAAAGCAGCATAACCTAACACTATGGGTCTGTAAAGATGACAACAGTCTGTACTCTAATGCTAGTTACTTTTTGCAGAAGCAAACAAGCATTTTGCTGATCTTCATTTAGGGTTCACATTTCATCTGGCCTCCCCTATCCTTCTGGCCCACAGCAAAAGCCTGGGAAATCAAAAGTTACATCGGACTTCACGCAGATGACAAAATCTAGCTTTTCAAGTCGTCCAGAACAAGACATTTTTTGTTTGTTTCTTTGACTAGGAATATTATGCTGCCACTAACTGCCTCGTTTCAGCAGCTGTTCAATTGCCTTGGTCCCTGCAGCTGCCAGTGCATTATGTGCAAGCTTCGTACCTCAGTGGAAACAGTAGGCAGCTCAGACGCAGCTGCTGAGGGCTCAGTACTTCAAATGCAACGCCTTACGCATCACCTGGAAGCCTGAGCTGTGCTGGAAATTCAGTGAAAGTCTTCAGAAGTCGAAGGGGAAAAGGGAAATAGGTTGACAGAGCCGATGTGATTACTGATGCCTACTATCTGCCCTAAGCACAGTGACCCACAGCTGAGCTGCTGACAAAGCAGCTTGTGAACCACTGGCATGCAGCCTGACCTTTCGAGATAAAGTACTCCGCCTTTGCTCCTGAATCAGAGCCCTTAAAGCCTTACACCACTGGATTCAATAGGTCTTCAAAACGCAGATAATAAACATTTTTCACCTCGGAAAGGATGAATTCCTTAGCAAGATATTTAAGTTTTGAAATTACTACATAATCATTCAGACTTAGTATAATTCGTATTGAAACCACATGCGCTTATGCAGGAACTTCTCTCTCATTAAAACACACAATAAAGCATACTGGTGCATTTTCCTTTATTTTAGAGAAGGGAATTTAGACTCCTTTTCTCCCTCTCCTCTTTCTGGAGAATGGAAACCACCTAAGACTGTAGCCAAAACCGTTTAACCACATATTTCCTTCTCTTCAGATAAAGCCATGCTGGTTCCCTTTCAATTTCCAAACTTAACAGAATTATTAATAAATTACTGCTCTTGTCTATGAGCACATGACCTGTTATGGCACCTCAAAATCCAGCACAAAGTTGCCTTTTAAAAACTTTCAGAATTCTCTATTCTGAAAGTTGCCTTAAGACAGTCACAGTCAGAGAGGAAAGGCAAAAGCCACAGTATTTCTATAAAGACCCCAACTTCCCTCTTAATATTATTGAGCTATACAATTTGATTAAAAGTAGATAAAAGGATGTCTTTGTTAGAATAACTCTTTCCAAATTTTGTTGCTAACCCCAGATTAACTGCATTTATATAATTTTATAAATCCTCCCCACACCTCCAGGTGCTTTTCATAATAATATCTGCAAGTCAGTCTTGTTAAACTCAGATGCTTAGGTAAAAAGCGCTAGAGAGCAGTAGGAAAAAGGAGGGGTTGGAAGTCAGACAATTACCAATTTCGTATTCAGTGGACGAATTTAATGCTACATAAACACAATTATAGGGACATACAAGAGGGAAAGATATATTATACAGCTGCCTCCTTTCAGAGTACAGTCCATCCTATAAACCAAATGAGGTATGGCTTTTCTGACAGTGACAGTAGACAGTTGTGTAACTTAGTTAAGTATTATCATACACATGTTGAAGGAGGAGAGTAAGTTCTCCCTCATTTTGCACCCTCATTTTCCACACACTGGCACAGCCAAAGCTAATTAGTTTGTTAGATTTTGAGACCAAGGTAAACTGTCACATACCGAAATCTGCAATTTGAACTAGCTTATACCAGCTGAATTTTTGTTCAGGTGGTTGTTATACAAAAGTTTCATTTCACTTCAAACTACATCTTTCATTTCAAACTCCTACTACAAATCAAAGTAGCATTAGAATTTTTTAGGCGAGAAAAGTAGACATGTTACTTTTACATTGGAAACAGGCTTTTAGTGTTAGAACAAACATTCTGCTTGCTGACTGAACAACCAGCAAGAGTAAACACTCTTATCTCGCGGCAGATTATCTGGATGGAAGACAAACAGCACCATAAACACACAAACTTGAGAAGGTGCTGCATGAATAAGTTAGGCTCTAAGTTGTTGAGCTGTGTTCGTGCTTTCTCAGCCTACCAGCTGGCTTGATCTCAAAGACCTCTGTGCCACACCTTCAATATATAGGGTATCTCACCTTCCTTTTCGTACTCTTTCAACTAATTTGTTATTTCTTTTCATCTGCATTTAAATGAGCAACCCTCTCCTCCAACTCCAACTAACTGTGAGTTAGCTTTGTTGTTAAAAATAGGCAGGGACCTGGCTCCTGTAACACCATTCGCTCATATTTTAAAAACCAAACTTGATTTGAATATAGTGAAGCAAAGAACTATTCTCAATGACTTTAAAAGCTGCTTTACTTGAGCACAAGAGGCAAAACCTCAGTTTCACATCCTATTTTAGTCCTCTAGTAAATCCTTATCTCGCAACACCAGGGTATTTAACTGATGTGCTACAGATATGCTATCTGCATGCTCCACCCACACATCCTGCAGTTACAGAAAATGTTCCTTCTCCCTAAAGCAACTAAGCCATTTCCTCCCCCAGAGACTGCACACAGTTCTCACCACCCACTGACTAATGAATCAGCATGCTCCCAACGCAACGGCCATGGCCAGCGATAGGCCCAGCTTCACCCCCCCAGGACCGCCAGCCCCCAGCAAAGCCGTGCAGTCCCCTCCCTTCTGTTTTCATTTTCCCAGCACACTAGAGCAAAACGCATTCTTTCGGAAGAGGCTCCGTTCTGACTCACCGTATGCCTCACCACACACGCATCTGCCCATTCATAACTGCTCACATAAGCTGCCTCTCTCTTGAGCCGGGTGCGTACGTCCCAGTTTTGATCCCACCTTCCCCTGAATCATACCCCACTTTTAAATATTTAAACAGCAGTCTCCCCAGTGACTTCATATATGAAACACTAAGAAAGGAACATCTGTAAACATTTAATCCAAGTAGGAAAGATGTTAAATCGGTCAAG